AACCTACTAGGTTATTTGAGATCTTCTCAAGGATCCAAGAAATCAAGGAGCCATAGCGTGTAGAAGGCCAGGGCTGGTCGGAGAAGCCATGGAAACCTCATGGGGTGGAGGTATACGCTGGTGACGTCGCTTGAGAACTAGGGTTTAATTGAGAGAGTTTTGAGAGAAGTGGGAGATGATGACGGCATGTGAGGGATAGAATGAGAGGGTTTTGGGGGGGGGGGGGTCGTTCAGGTTAATTATGGTAAGGTGGGTTGTGGACCGTTAATAAAAAATGATCAACGGTCAGGATTAGACGGGGGTATTGGGTCGAGCATATCAGACTTGGGCCTAGGGAGATTGGCCAAATTAAAAGGGGTTTTGGGCTGGTCTCTCTTGGGTTAAATCTGAAAATAAGGGGCTATTTATTAAATACCCAAGTAATTAAATAAAAATTTATTTATAAAATAATTAATAAATTTTAAAACAAATTTTCATGCATAAAAATGTTTCAAAACAATTATTCAATATTTTGAAACTATAATGGACCAATTTCTGGTAAAATAATGAAGTAATGTATGCATGGGCTATAATTGCAAAGTTGTTGCAATTATAACCAAAAAGTGTAAATCTGACCATTTGTGAAATAATTGAACTTAATATGACTATAAATAGCAATATTAAGTCATGAAATACTATAAAATCATTTGTGATGCAATTTTATAATTATTTATGTAAATAAAATACTAGGATAAATTAATTTCAAAAATATAGAAATTATGGAAAATATCAATTGATGCTAATGCATAGTTTTGAAGGTATATATGCACTTAAAAAGTATTATAGCAAAAAATCGGGTATCAATAATGGACATGTATTGACATTTGAACAATAGATGGAGATACTTCAACCATACTCTGACAAAGATGTGAAGAAGGCTATGTTTAGCATATATAGCAATAAGAGCCCTGTGCCAGATGGATATGGGAGTGATTTTTTCAAGAAGGCTTGGAGCATTGTAGGGAGAGATGTCACTACTGCTGTACTACAATTTTTAACCAATGGAAAGCTGTTGAAGCAGATCAATACAACAAATATCACTTTGATTCTAAAGGTGTCTAATCCTGAATATGCAAGCCAATTCAGACCAATATCCTGTTATAATACCTTGTACAAATGCATCTCTAAAGTCCTATGTGAAAGATTGAAACAAGCTCTGACTCACTTGGTGGCAGAAAATCAAGCAACCTTTGTGACAGGTAGATCTCTAGTACACAATGTGCTAATCTGTCATGATCTCATGAGACACTATAACAGGAAAACAACACCTAGATGTTTAATGAAAATAGATTTGAGGAAGGCATATCATATGGTGAGCTGGGAGTTCATAAAAGAAACACTAACAGGCTATGGGTTTCCAATCACTTTCATTCAGTTGGTCATGGCATGTGTTAGCTCAACAATATTTTCTGTGAAAATCAACGGACAAGATTATGGATATTTTGAAGGTAAAAGAGGACTGAGGCAGGGAGACCCCATGTCACCTATTCTGTTTGTACTTGTAACGGAATACCTCTCAAGAACACTAAAGAAGATGAGTGAACTCCCAGATTTCAAATACCACCCTATGTGCAAGTCCCTTAAGCTCACTCACCTAATATTTGCTGATGATTTAATGATCTGCTACAAAGGTGACACTAGATCGATAGCAAGGGTAATGGAAACACTAGAGCATTTTAGTAGAGTTACTGGACTAGTGACCAATGTGGACAAATCTAATATTTTCTTGGCTGGAATAGATGAAGCAACTCATGTACATATACTAGTAAGTACAGGATTCTCTGTAGTTACTTTATCAATCAGGTACCTTGGCTTGCCACTATCATCAAAGAAATGGGCAAAATGGATTGCCATCAACTAATATGTGCAATCACACATATGATAACAAATGCCTACTCAAGGAAGATGTCATATGCAACAGAATATAAATGCTGTGCTGTTCTCTTTATATAACTTTGGGGGGGGGGGCTGTTTTCATTTTAGGTCAGAGTGTGCTTAAAGAGGTGGATCAAAAGTGTCGAAAATATCTCTGTGGGATTCAGAAGAACATAGGAAGGTGGCTCTAGTTGCATGGGAGTGTCACGACCTAAGTTCGCCCTCCGTAAACTGTCGTGACGGCACCTAGTCTCTTCGACTAGGTAAGCTAACAATTTGCGAAAAAAGGAACAAAATGTGGAAAAACAAATAAAAACTGAAGATAAACAATTATAGAAGTGTTTAAGATGCCGCTCGACATATACCAATACAAGATCTCAAAAACTGAACAATTCCCAAAATCCGGAATCCCATGAATCACAAGCTAAAAGATACATAAAAGCTCTAACTCCAGAAATGTCTATCAACAAGGAAAAATACAGAAGGGCTAAACGAGTACAGAGAATAGAAAGGGACTCCTCGGTCTGCGGATGCGGCAGATATACCTCGAAGTATCTACAAAAGCTCCTCGCCTCAAGGGTGATAAGACTGAGTGAGAGTACCTGGATCTGCACATGAAAAACATGCGCAGAAGGGGCATGAGTATACCACAGCGGTACTCAGTAAATGCCAAGCCTAACCTCGATCGGGTAGTGACGAGGAAGGTTAGGGGCCTATTGAGGTTAAATGAAATACAAGGTATAACAATATCGAATAAGACAGTATAGTAAGTGCAACAGTAAGAAGTAACACCGGATAGAAAGAATAACAACAACTATAACAGAGATAAAAAAATCACGGAAAGGAAATACAGCTCACACAGAGATAACAACCGGGGATCTTCCAGGATACCGTCCTATAGTCCCAAATATAAATATCCAGTGGATCTCCCGGGATACTGTCCGGTAGTCCAACTCATAGTGCGCGGGGATCTACCGGAATCCCGATCCGTAGTCCCAAATGTAAATACTCAGTACTGGGGGAATCTACCGGGTGCAGTTCCGTAGTTCCAATGTAAAAGTGCAGGGGGATCTCCCAGAATACAATTCCGTTGTCCCAAAGTAAACATACAGGGGGATCTCCCGGGATACCGTCCCGTAGTCCCAAAGTAAACACACAGCAACAACACGAAGAATACACAATTCAAATCAAATTCCATACCAAGGTAAAACAGGTATTTCTAACCTAGCATGCTGCACATAATTCAAATAAGGCAGTGGAGTAAATAAGCAATTAAGTCAATTAGGCACGCTTCCCTAAGCTACAACAGGCTTAAATTGCAAGTAGTATAAACAGGAAAAGAAATACAATTCTAGTACTTAACGAATACTGGATTTTTCAACAATTAGCACAAGTACGCACTTGTCACCTCATGTACAAGACATTTCAAACATCAATAATACCAAATCCTTAGGGGAGTTTCCCTCACACAAGGTTAGACAAGCCACTTACCTCGAACCGGCTCAAAATCAACCCGAAACCATGTTCTTGCCATGAGTATTCGACTCCAAATGGCCCAAATCTATTCAATTCAATTGCATAATGTAAATAACACTTCAAGTAACTGATTCTACAAATAAATTCTAAGCTAATACGCGAAATTAGGTGAAATGACCAAAATGCCCTCCGGGCCCACGTCTCGGAATCGGGTAAAATTTATATTTTCAGAATCCTCATACTCTCACGAGTCTAACCATACCAAAATTATCCTAATCCGATGTCAAATTCCCAATCAAAACTCGAAATTTAGGTCTAAGAACTTTCTTCAAAATTTTCCCCAATTTTCATCTCAAATCTGAAATTAAACGATAAAACTAACAATAGATTAATGGAATATAACTAGAAAGGGATAAAGAATCGTTACCCACTGATTTCCTCTTCAAAAATCTCCCAAAATCACCCTCTCCCTAGCTCCAAATCAATTTTCTAACTTTTGAAACTAAACCCTCGAAATTCTGATTTTCTGCCCAGTAAATCCGCATCTGTGACTCTGGGACCACACCTGCGCTCCCGCTTCTGCGGAACATAAGTTGCATCTGCGACGTTTCATTAAAGCTAAATTTTCGCACCTGCGGCTCCTTTACCGCACCTGCGGTCTCGCAGGTGCGTTGACCATTTCGCACCTGCAGTTTGCTAGAGCCTAGCCAACCTCGCTTCTACGATCACATAGCCGCTTCTGCGGTGCCGCACCTGCGGTCCCACACACGCAGGTGCGGTTATGACAGGAAACACAGCTTCAGCTGCTAACTTCAAATGCCTAACTCTCCGACAACCATCCGAAATCATCCCGAGGCCCCCAGGACCTCAACCAAAAGTACGAACAAGTCATATACCACTATCCAAACTTATACCAACCCTTAAAACACCTAAAACAACATCGAAACATCGAATCATCATCGAATTCAAGCCTAAGAATTCCAAAATCTTCTGAATTTACGCTTTCGATCAAAAAGTTTATCAAACCTCGTCCGAATGACTTGAAATTTTGCACACACGTCACATTCAACACTACGGAGCTACTCCAACTTTCGAAATTCTATTCCGACCCCGATATAAAAAATCTCACTATCGAACCGGAAACTTCAAAATTTCAACTTTCAGCATTTCAAGCCTAATTAAGCTACGGACCTCCAAAACACAATCCGAACACGCTCCTAAACCCGAAATCACCCAACGGAGCTAACGGAACCAATGAAATTCCATTCCGAGGCCGTCTTCACACTGTTCCGACTACAGTCCAAATTCTAAAACTTAAACACTCATTTAGGGACTAAGTGTCCCAAAACTCTCCGAAACTCCAAATAAATCCTTCCGACAACTCACAATAGCAGAAACAAATATGGGGAATGCAGTTAATAGGGGATCAAGGCGTAAATTCTTAAAACGACCGGCCGGGTCATTACAGGGAGAAAGTGTGTGTGCCAAAAAAGTATGGAGGCCTCAACATAAAGAATTATAGGATATGGAATATTGCTGCAATAGGAAAACTATTATGGCAGCTGGCAAAGGAGGATATTTTATGGGTTAGGTGGATTCATGGAGTATATATGAGGACTGAAAGTAACATATGGCAACATAAAGCTCCAGCTGACTGTAGCTGGTATTGGAAGAAGCTACATTCTCTCAAAGGCCTTATGGAGAGTTGGTATCAGAATAGGGAATACACACTAACTCCCAATGGTGCTTATTCAATGACAAAGAGCTACAACATGTTACTAGGGGAGCAGGTGAGAATGCAGGAATCCGGCTCAGTATGGACAACAATGATGCAACCCAAGCATCTGTTTATCATCTGGTTAGCCAATCAAGATAGGTTGCTAACAAAGAAAAGGCTTCTCAGGATAAAAATCCCAGTGGCTAATGGATCATGCAGCTTATGTGATCAAGGAAGATTAGAAACTCAGGCACATCTATTTGCTGAATGTTCATGGATTACAGCACCTAGGAATGGAGTGTCTATATGGCTAGGAATACAGCTCCAGGAAAAGGGCATCAGAGAGAGCCTACATTGGATACAAAGAAGGAACTGGAAACAAGTTCAAAAAGAAATGGTCGCAGCAGTGTGGGGAGCTATGATATACCACACATGGCAAGCTAGGAATTGGAGAATCTTTAGGAATATAACTATAAATAGAGAGTTCACAATAGCAAAGATACAACAAGAAGTTAAGATTAGACTAGATAGCATGAGGAATACATGTAGAGCCCGTAAATGTCAATATTTGTTTACCTGGATATGAAATTAGAAGAGATCTGATGAGGCCTAGCAAACACTAGGTGCTCTCTAGGTGTAAAAATTTTGTTGTTAATGATAATTTCACAGTTATTACCAAAAAAAATTTGATTGTTGGATTTAATGAGATCCCTGAAGAGAAAAGGATTTAATGAGAACCGGAATTTAGAGGTACATTTTTGCAACTTCTACTATTTTCCGTCTATTTCTAGTGTCTAGTGCAGTATTTTTAGATGGATATCTGGTATTTTGTCTATTTTTTGGTGTAGCTTTTGGTATTAAATATTTTGTAATTTGATGAAAATTTTTTCTGTATTTTTTGGTTAATTTTTTTTCATAATTCTGTTAAATATAATTAAGACTATGTAAAACCTACCCAAATATAAGGGACCATATTTATATTTAAAAAAAATTCGTCTGAAAATTGTTTTGCATGTTGAAAAGAAAATCGCTATATTGACATTTGCCAAGTATTCTCCACATGTGAATCGGCAGAATTCCACACGCCGTGCCAGCAGAGCTCTAGACCCCACAGCATATGAAGATAGTTTTTCCCTACATATCTTACAATACGACTGTCTTATTTCTTCTTCATTAAGGCAGATTGGTTATATATCATCTTAGGGGAGGTTATGTTAAAATTTACAATTTGAAGTGTGATCCTTCAATCACTGAGTTTTGAATTCGTTAGGAGCTATGGAGGAGCCACTGTTGACAGGTTAGTCTTTTTCCCATCATCATTAAAGCTTAAAACTTGAATCTTTATTGTCAATTCCTATACCCTTTTCTTGTTTCTCCCATTTTTATAGCTTACTTGCTTAAAGCTTGAATCTTTATTGTCCATTTCTATACCCTTTTCTTGTTTCTCCCATTTTCTATAGCTCAATTGCTTAAAGCTTGAATCTTTTCTGTAAAAAGTTTATACCCTTTTATTGCTTGTCCCATTTTGCATAGCTTTAGTGCTTATAGCTGGAACCTTTTCATTCAACTTTTATGCCCTTTCCTTGCTTTAACAATTTTGATAGCTTAATTGCTTAAAGCTTGTTTTTTCTGTCAATATTCGTTGCTTTTCCCTTTTTGCAAACTTTAATTGCTGAATACTTTAGTCTTTTCTGTCAATTTTTGTACCCTTTTCTTGCTTTTACCATTTTGCGTGGCCTAAATGCCTAAAACTTGAATTTCTGCAAGATTTTTATATACCCTTTTATTGCTTTTCACATTTTGTAAACCTGCTTCGCTTAAAGCGTGAATCTTTTCTGTGAATTTTTATCACCTTTTCTTGCTTTTCCCTTTTGCATAGCTTAATTGCTTATACCTGATCATTTTTTGTGTGGCAATTTTTACACCTTTTCTTGATTTTCCTTTTTGCATAGCTTAAGTTTGGATTAATGTGACTTTTAAAAATAGGGAAAGCAGCAAGCGAAACAGGTCAAAGAGGGAGTGAGAGATGGAATTATTATGAGAATGTGGGAAGGGCGGGGTCTGCGATTCCTACGAATTCTTTGGCCGGATCAGAAGTCAGCGTCGATGAGATTAGGTCTGCTGCTTCTATGTCAGTTCCTTACTCTCCTTCTCTCCATGCCCCCTTGATCAGCTCTCCCCAATCCCAATCTCAGCCACAATCTTACGGTAAGTTGCCCGCGGACATATTCTCTCATACTGGCTTATTTTGTGTTGAGCTTTATATACTCCCTCTAGTTTATTTTATTAGGTGGTGTGTGACGGGACATAGAGTTTAATGAAAACAAAAGACTCTTGGCACATTCCAGAAGTATTGAAGTACCATTAGAACCTATGGTGTAAAACATGCCATGACATTTTTGTGGCTATAAAGTACTTCATTAAGTTGAATAATTTTTAATGCGAAATATGTCATTCTTTTCCAAACAAACTAAGAAGGAAAGAGTGACATATACAAAATGAAATAGATGACTGCTGAGCACAAAAGGTCTTTGCCTCAGTTTACGTTATTACCATTTTAGTTCATTTGCTTGGTTTGATTAAAATGTAAAACAATTTTTAATTGTTTTATAGCCTTGGGGATTCTCAGTTTATTGAACGTCGATGAAGGGGCTAATAGACCTACCTTTAGATTTGAGTTAGGAGCTTCTAATATAGCTTGAAAGCCTACTTTTTTTTGCTCTCTTTATAAACTCATACCCCATATTTTGTTGCTTCTTGTTATTACCAGAAATCTCTGGTCTTATGGCTTGCATTAAGTTTCAACACCATGTCTTTTACGAATTTTCTATCGTTAAATACATTAAAGCTATCTGGCTAAATTCTTACTGCCTGTTTTTGGCGGATGATACTATGTTGATGCCTTTACGACTAAAGAGAATGTTTGTGCCCTTTTGTTTTTCCTTGGTAAAGTTCACAACTGTGATTAGGTCACTTGCGTGTTTTTTTTTGGCTCTAGAGTATGCGTATGACTTCCCTGCTGTTTCATCACTATGTCTTATTTAAATTGTGTTAGAAAATAAATTATGTTCTCTTTTGTTGCAGAGCAAGGGATTGTTTATCAGGGTGGGTACTATGGAGCTGCAGGTGAAACTGCCGGTGACCTAAGGAGGTAATTACGCAGCATTCTTCCCAACGATGTCTTGCTTGGGTTACATTGGTTATATTAAGTATATTTGAGATCATTACCATTAGGGTTGCACTACTTTCCTCTTCTGCTGGTTTTCGTACACCAATTAGTGTTCTGAAACAAGTAATGAAAAAGACTAGGAGCTTACATTATGGTTATTGTTGCAACAGCTTGATTAACTAAGTTTTTTGGCAGGCAAGTGTTGGACGAGGTAGAAGTACGAGAGTTGCTTATCGATCATGTTGGCCATCGCTGCTGTTGGGGAAGTCGTCCAGCTCGGACCTGGAAGATTCATGCAATTGAAGATTGCAATGTCTATGTGGGGACGCTAGAAACTTTCACGGAAGAGAGAGATACAATTATAGAGAAGGAGCCATACTCCAGTGGCAGCATTGATGGAAAGGACAAGGGGCCTGAGATGGGAATATGGGAATTGGATTTAAGGTCTGAATTTCCTGTTTTGTTTGTACCTTACAAGGAGTCACGACTGAGAATTCCTCATTCGGAAACTATAGAGAAATGTTCAGGTAATAGACATTGTTTGTGGGATAATCTTTTTGCATTGTTAATAGTGTTAAAAAATAAACTTGATTACTATTTCTTGTGTTATTATTGTACTCCTTCAATATAGTCTTTAACCTTTTTCCCTATCATATGGTTCTTGGGTTAAAGTTGGAGTGATTTTCACGATTTTGCTTAACTGCTTCACAGGTTGTGATGGTCGAGGAAATGTAGTTTGTACTACTTGCAATGCAGATCAAGAGCCAGGGTTTTACAAGGAGGGTCAAATGGCCCAGTGTCCTACTTGCTATGGAAGGGGTCTAATTGCTCACAAGGACGGATCTGACACAATGTGAGCTTTTGACAGATTGTTAACTGTTGCGGTGCATTTCTTCGTCAAGTTTATTCTTTTTTCCTTGACTAAGTATAGTTGAAAGACCCGATGATTACTCTTGTACTATTCGGGCGTCCAAATTTCATTCTGCGTTCATGGTTTCTCCTGGTACCTTTTTTGGAGACAAGTGCAGACCTTGAGGTGTCTGACAATTGTAATTGATTTACCAAAAACATCTTTCTTTTGCAGATGCCTGAAGTGTAAAGGTAATGGGAAACTTCCTTGTGTGACATGTGAATCTCGTGGCCTGATCAAATGCCAAACATGCCAAGGTGGTGGTTCTCTTTTAGCACGGAAAGTAGCTGTTGTTAGATGGTAATCTATCTTTACTTTTGATTTATTATACTCAATTAGTCATGCATATTACAATCAAGGAAATCATGAGGTTGACAACTGAATGATCACGCATTATGTATTTATTGTGTTGGCCTCGTTCTGTGCCCTGCGCGATGTCCAAAAAAATAAAACAATTGCCCAACAGAATACCCACATTAACTGACACCCATCACAACTAAAATTTGGATATAATCCCTTTGTGGTTTGGTAATAGTTCTGTCCGGAACTGATGGCTCTAAAGCACTTGACTTGTCTAGTTCAACATAACTATATGCCATGAAGTGTGAAAGACGAGGACTTTGGCCATCGTTATAGCAAACAGTATCTTATCCATATGATTTAAGGTATCTTGTAGATTTTGGCACTGATGCAGAGGATTAATATGGCGTGCAAATTTGACATGTTTTCGTAGGAGGTCACTTTCAACCCGGAAAGTAAACGCTACAAGTGGAGCAGGTTCTGTTCCAGATGACGTCTTTCACAGAGCAAAGGGAGTCCAGTTGTGCAATAACCAAGCATACCAGTGCACTCCAGCCTACTTTGCCGATTCATATTTCCTTAACAAGTTCTCTTCTGAAGTAATTGCAGAGAGGCCTTCAATACCTACTACTGCAAGGATCATATGCGAGCGACACACCATCTCTGTTGTCCCGGTGACTCGCGTGACCATGACTGATCGTAATCGCTCCTTCAGTTTCTATATTATTGGAAATGGAAGAGAGGTTTATATGAAAGACTACTATCCTTCTAGGTTTTGTTGGGGCCTTTGTCCTTGCTTGGAATGGTTGAAACTATAATTGAAAAAACTGAATCTGTTTCTTCATTATTGGCCTTAGTTTTGTCCCAAAGAGTGTTATGGGAAGAACAAGTTGGTTTTTGTATAGAATATACTGTATGCTTTCCATGAATAAAGGGTTTGTGTTCCTACTTCCGAACAATAATATCATAATTGTTTTATTAGTTAAGGGAGTAATTATCCAATCATCTATTTCCAGATCTCTGTAATGTAAAACAATGCTAGCCTTTTGGCTTGATTCTTTTTTCCTTAGACAAACAAATTGTATAGACTTCATCAACAACCTTATTTGATCTCTGAAGAAAATAACCTCAATGTTATTTTTGCAATTTGATCTTCCTTTCTAATAATTTGACTTGTCATATGGGGATTTTATGTAGTGTTTTTTGA